ACACCCCAGCAATTGCTCTGGGTACCCTAGCAACCGCATAGCAAGACCTTAGCAACCACCACAAATAACTTAGTAAAAGCATAGCAACACCATAGCAACTGCCCCAGGTACCCTAGCAACCTCATAGCAGCACCCTATCAACCGCATAGCAACACCTCAGCAACCACCCCGGGTACCCTTGCAACCGCAGAATAGCAACACCTTAGCAACCACCCCGGGTACCCTAGCAACCTCATAGCAACACCTTAGCAACCACCCCAGGTACCCTAGCAACCACAACATAGCAACACCTTAGCAACCACCCCGGGTACCCTAGCAACCTCGTAGAAACACCCTAGAAACCATCCCGGGTACCATAGCAAACGCATAGAAGCACCCTTAGCAACTGCATAGCAACACCTTAGCAACTGCATAGCAACACCCTAGCAACCACACCAGTACCCTAGCAACCACATAACAGCACCCTAGCAACTACTTAACAACACCATATCAACCGCTCTGGTTACCCAAGCAACCACATAGCAAAACTTTAGCAACCGCATAGCAACACCATAGCAACGGCCCTTGGTACCCTAGCATCTGCATAGCAACACCCTAGCAACCACCCCTTATACCTTAGTAACCGCAGAGCAACACCTTAGCAACTGCCCCGGGTACCCTAGCAACTGCATAGCAAACACACTGAGTACCTTAGCAACCGCAGAGCAAAACCTTAGCAACCGCCCCGGTTACCCTAGCAACCACATAGCAGCACCCTAGCAACCGCATAGCAACACCTTAGCAACCTCAAAGCAACACCTTAGCAACTGCCCTGACTACCCTAGCAACCGCATAGCAACACCTTAGCAACCTCAAAGCAACACCTTAGCAACTGCCCTGACTACCCTAGCAACCGCATAGCAACACCTTAGCAACCTCAAAGCAACACCTTAGCAACTGCCCTGACTACCCTAGCAACCGCATAGCAACACCTTAGCAACCTCAAAGCAACACCTTAGCAACTGCCCTGACTACCCTAGCAACCGCATAGCAACACCTTAGCAACCTCAAAGCAACACCTTAGCAACTGCCCTGACTACCCTAGCAACCGCATAGCAACACTCTAGCAACCACCCCGAATACCTTAGCAACCGCATAGCAACACCCTAGTAACTGCATTGCAACACCCTAGGAACCACACCGAGTACCTTAGAAACCACATAGCAGCACCTTCGCAACTGCCCCCGCTACCCTAGTAACCGCATAGCAACCACCCCAAATAACTTAAAAACCGCAGCGCAGCACCTAAGCAACTGCCCCAGGTAATCTAGCAACCACATAGCAACACCTTAGCAACAACCCCGGTACCCTAGCAACTGCATAGCAACACCATATTAAAATGCAATTAAAATATATATTTATTTCACTTCAAATAAGCATGTTGGGAATACAAATGTATTATAAACATACTACTTGAATTTAAAGTATATTTTTAATACATTTAATACTACGTATTTTTCACCTGGGTCCGCATAGCAACAGCCTAGCAACCACCACTAATACATTAGTAACTGAATAGCAACACCTTAGCAACTGCCCCGTGTACCCTAGCAACTGCATAGCAGCACGCTAGCAACCACATTGCAACACCGTAGCAACAGCCCTGCGTACCCTAGCAACCACATAGCAACACCTTAGCAACCATCACGGGTACCCTAGCAACCACATAGCAACACCCCAGCAATTGCTTAGGGTACCCTAGCAACCGCAAAGCAACACCTTAGCATCTGCCACGGGTACCCTAGCAACCGCATAGCAAGACCTCAGCAACCATATAGCAACACCCTATCAATGGCCCTGGGTACCTTAGCAACCGCATAGCAACACCTTAGCAACCACCCTGGGTACCCTAGCAACCGCATAGCAACACCTCAGCAACCATATAGCAACACCCTATCAATGGCCCTGGGTACCTTAGCAACCGCATAGCAACACTTTAGCAACCGCCCAGGGTACCCTAGCAACCGCACAGCAACACCCTAGCAACTGCTCTGGGTACCCTAGCAACCGCAAAGCAACACCTTAGCAACCACCCAGAGTAACTTAGCAACCAAATATCAACACCCTAGCAATTGCTCTGGGTACCCTAGCAACCACATAGCAACACCTTAGCATCCGCCCTGGGTACCCTAGCAACTGCATAGCAAGACCTTAGCAACCATATAGCAACACCCTAGCAATGGCCCTGGGTACCCTAGCAACCGCATAGCAACACTCTAGCAATCGCATAGCATCACCTTAGCAACCGCCCTGGGTACCCTAGCAACCGCATAGCAACAGACTAGCAACTGCTCTGGGTACCCTAGCAACCGCAAAGCAACACCTTAGCATCCACCCCGAGTACCTTAGCAACCAAATAGCAACACCCTAGCAATTGCTCTGGGTACCCTAGCAACCGCATCGCAACACCTTAGCATCCGTGCTGGGTACCCTAGCAACGGCATAGCAAGAACTTAGCAACCATATAGCAACACCCTAGCAACGGCCCTGCATACCCTAGCAACCGCATAGCAACGCTCTAGCAATCGCATAGCAACACCTTAGCAACCACCCCGAGTACCTTAGCAACCGCATAGCAACACTCTAGCAACAACACCGAGTACCTTAGCAACGGCATAGCAAACACCGTAGCAACCGCCCCTGGTACCCTAGCAACCGCATAGCAACACCCTAGCAACTGCTATGGTTACCCTAGCAACCGCAAAGCAAGACCTTAGCAACCATATAGCAACACCCTAGCAATGGCCCTGGGTACCCTAGCAACCGTATAGCAACACCCTAGCAACCACCCCTAATACCTTAGTAACCGCATAGCAACACCTTAGCATCCACCCCGAGTACCTTAGCAACCAAATAGCAACACCCTAGCAATTGCTCTGGGTACCCTAGCAACCGCATCGCAACACCTTAGCATCCGTGCTGGGTACCCTAGCAACGGCATAGCAAGAACTTAGCAACCATATAGCAACACCCTAGCAACGGCCCTGCATACCCTAGCAACCGCATAGCAACGCTCTAGCAATCGCATAGCAACACCTTAGCAACCACCCCGAGTACCTTAGCAACCGCATAGCAACACTCTAGCAACAACACCGAGTACCTTAGCAACGGCATAGCAAACACCGTAGCAACCGCCCCTGGTACCCTAGCAACCGCATAGCAACACCCTAGCAACTGCTATGGTTACCCTAGCAACCGCAAAGCAAGACCTTAGCAACCATATAGCAACACCCTAGCAATGGCCCTGGGTACCCTAGCAACCGTATAGCAACGCTCTAGCAATCGCATAGCAACACCTTAGCAACCAAACCGAGTACCTTAGCAACCGCATAGCAAACACCGTAGAAACCGCCCCTGGTACCCTAGCAACCGCATAGCAACACCCTAGCAACTGCTCCTGGTACCGTAGCAACCGCAAAGCAACACCTTAGACAC